TGAGATTTTTAAAAAGAAGTAATTGTGGCTGTTAGTGTCAAGATTATGCAACTAACCATTTATGACATACCATTTCAGTTCTAAAGTTACATTTTTTCAATTGTTTTTAGGTGAAATAGATTCAGATAATTTCTAATTGATTATCTTATACCAACTTTTATGTGAGGTTCAAAAACTAATATAATAACTGCATTTAATATTATGGGGAGAGTGACAGAAGGAGGAAGGAAGGGAGAGAATTTCAATAAAGGACATGCTGCCAATATTCAAGAGGAAAATAAATAATGTTTATTTAGCAGAACAGCCAGCTTTTCTTCTAGGAAGATACATTATTGTTATTCCAATGAGCTCATATCTAATGGTGTTGCTAGGGATTTGATGTCAGATATTATTTGCCTAGTTTTTTGGCAAATAAAGAATAGAAATAGCTAGATAAATCCCTTTATAATTTATTTTAATATTTTATATAATCAATCTTAATGTATACTGAATATTTCTGTTATTTATTGCTATTTATAAAAATATTTTAGGCTTTACTCAGTAACCTTTGGGTGTTTTTTTTCTCTCTCTCTTTTTTTGGTATCTAAGGTCAATTATTCATTGTGTCTCTTTATTATTTATTTATTTATTTAAAAATATATATTTTATTGATTTTTTTTTTTTACAGAGAGAGAGAGAGAGAGGGACAGAGCGTTAGAAACATGGATGGGAGAGAAACATCGATCAGCTGCCTCTTGCACACCCCCTACTGGGGATGTGCCTGCAACCAAGGTACATGCCTTTGACTGGAATCGAACCTGGGACCCTTCAGTCCGCAGGCCAATGCTCTATCCACTGAGCCAAACCGGTTTCGGCCATTGTGTTACTTTAGAATGGCTATGATTACTGAAATATGTAGTTAACATTTTGGATTTTTGACAAGAGTAGGCAAGAATAGCCAAGAATGGTTTGGCTTTAAGATGAATATGAAATGAAAGTTATTTTTAACACTAGTATGAAGTTACTTTAGCTTTTTGTTAATGTATCCTGAAATGCTAGTGAGATTGTCCCTTGGTAACATTTTTTTTTTTTGGGGGGGGGGTCCTTGGGAAGAATAAGGTCAGATACATAATTATTTTATATTTGTAAGGGAAAACAGTATAAGGATACCCTGTTGTTCAAACAATTGCCAATTCTATGTTTCAATATATGTCTGTGCTTTTAGTGACAAATAGAACACAGAAACCTTATAATAAATGAAGACATTGATCCCACTAAGCCCCCTATCACCATTGTTAATAAACATAGTGCTAAGAATTCTAGCAAGTGAAGTGAGGCAAGAGAAAATAAGAAAAAACCTGTAACTTCTGAAAGAAATAAAACTCTCATTACTCTTAGATGATATGATTATATAAATGATTTATCCTTAGATCTTCTTGGATTTTTTTTTTTTTTAGAATATTTTAAGAAGTGTGACTACAAATCAGTATTTAAAAAATTCTATTTCTGTGTGCTAATATGTACTTCTTTAGAAAATGAAATTAATGGGAAGACTATCTATATAAAAGCCTAAGCAACCGGAACACTGGAATGACCAGAATGACCAGAACAACTGGTCACTGTGACGCACACTGACCACCATGGGGCAGACACTCAACACAGAAGTTTCCCCCTGGTGGTTGGTGCTCTCCAACAGACAACGCCCTCTGACGCCTGCCCCGGCCAGCAGGCCCCGGCCAGCAGCTGGCAGCTGATGGGAAGGCCCCAGCTGGCAGCCAAAAGGCCCTTCCTGGCCCTGCTCACAGGCCAGACCTAGGGACCCACCTGTGCACGAATTTCATGCACTGGGCCTCTAGTTTATAATAGAGTTAAGAAACAGGAAGTTCCTGAAATAATTCTGACAGAAAAAGTACAAGACGTCTAGGGGGAATTGTGAAGCTCCATGCAGATAATTTTTTTTGTGTGCAACAGAAATTCACCTCCTCACAGTTTTAGAGGCGGAAAGTCCAAGATCCAGGTGTCAGCAGGCTTGGTTTCTCTGGAGGCCTTTCACCTCGGCTTATAGATGGCCACCAGGTCTCTGTGTCCTCACATAGTCTTTCCTCTGTGCACGTGCATTCCTGGTGTCTCTATTTCTAAATTTCCTCTTATAAGGCACCAGTCAGATTGGATTAATGCTTACCTTAAATGCCTCATTTTAACTTAGTCGTCACTTTAAAGGCCATGTCTCCAAATATAATGACATTCTGAATTGTGTTAGGAGAGACACAATTCAGCCACAACACTGATTATGTAGTAAAGATCTTGAATAGTAAATGGGTTTTTGTGATTTTGGATAAGTTTTCCCAAGCCAATTTTTGCTTTAAAAAAGTCATATCTAAAAAACAACAAGTAAGATGGAAGTAACAGGTGCTGTGCTCTGGAGAACTGTGCTAATAGACTCACACTATGGCCATATATGTGGCCAAATATGGAACACAAAAGAACAATTTCAAATAAAAGTATTTTTTAATAAATATTCTTAAATATAAGTGTATAACCAAATGAATAAATGACAGTATACACAGAAATTTTAGTCTCATCTTTATCCCTACACTTATAAATTCTTGTTGGCAAAAAAAATTTTTAAGCCTATTTCACTGGGAGAAGAGAAGGTGCATTTTATTTGGTCATATATTATATTTTTATTACAGTAAGCTCTATAGTAACACAGTTTTTGTATTCCTAAAGTCCACTCCAGTGTGTAAAATCATTCAGTGAAAACCATAGTGCTTACCGGAAATTGAAGGCACAACACTCAAAAACATTGTCAGTGACACTTAAAAGCATAGGAACCTAATAGAAACAGCAATATATTTTTATACTTGGTAAATACTTAAGAGATACATAAATACTTAAGAGATACATAATGAACATGGCACTTTACCCTAAAAGTCACCCAAAGTTTTCTTGGAGAAGTGGGCATTGGAAAGGTAGCAGTGTGTGAGCTGTGAAGTGAAGAGAGTCACCTGAAATGGGAGGGGAAGTTGTAATAACAGATTTAGATGAGAGTGGCTCAGGGTAAACTGAGGTAGCTGGTAAGGGACTGGAGGTATGTGTGTGTTTTGTGTATTTCTTTATGGCTTGCTTTAGCTGGCTGTAGTTTTTTTTTGTGTTTACCTAGGGTTTCTACAGGTAAAAATCATGAATAAGCAAACACAAATGCTTGCTGTGCTCAAATTATTGCTTAATCATGTTGGAATATATTTGTGTTTCCAAATAGCAGAACTTGTTAGATGTAATTAAAAAAAAAATCATTTGTTGCTACATCTTGTTCCCTTTACATGTTTGTAAGGATTCTGCCTGGGCTCTTTTTATTGAGCTTTTGAAATGACTGTCTAATATAATACACATACCACATTAAGTGTCTTGGTGTATTTTAAGTTTTTCCAGGCTAATGAATTGAGTAACTTGGGAATGGAATCAGATTTTTGCTTAACTCTGGTGGGTAATCACTGTGATACACAGGAAAACATCAGTTCTTTTGTTTCAAGCAAGTGCATATGTTCAGTGGCCTCCTGGCTTTCATTATTGCTACCAGAATACCTTTAAACCATAACCTGAACTAATATTATAAAAGTGTGTGGTTGGTAATGTTTGGGGGATCCTTCCCGTTCGTTTCTTGCTTTTATTCACTGTGGCCGTTTTATATCAAAGTTTAGCAATAATGGGTTCCCTGGTTTAAGTCTTGTTCTTTCATTCTCTCTCACTCCTCTTGTAGATCTGGTTGGTAACAGTGAGGGCACATGAAATGCTACTCCCTCATTTTCTTGTTTTTTTGTGTGTGTGGTTGTGCTGGGTTTTTTTTGTTTGTTTTTTTGTGTGTGTTTTTGTTTTGTTTTGTTTTGTTTTTGGTAACTTTTAAGACCCTTACGTTGATGCTTGAACCAAAAAATCGCCTTTATTTCACAGCATTTCCATTTCCCTTCCCATCTAGGCATTTCTTTGTTTTCTTAGTCCTCTGTGCATGCATTCCTCTTATAGTATATTAGAGGCCCTATGCACGAAATTCCCTGGCTGCTGGCACCAGCTTCCCTCTTGGCACCTGAGAATCGGGCTTCCCTCACAGCCCCAGCTTCTCCGGGAAGGTCCTCTGGAAGGACATCCGGTCTAATCAGCATATTACCCTTTTATTATTATTATAGATCATACTGTGTTTTTGCAAAGTTGGGCTCTCTCTCTGAATAAACTGCATATTTCTTGAGGGCATGGACCATATTTTTATCTTTTCTATATAGCAGAGTATTTGTAATGCTGGTTAGGAGAGTAGATGGTTGAATGAATGAAGTGAGGTTGAAGAGAACTGTCCATATGATGCTATAATTTACTCTACCCCCCCCTCCCCCCCATTTTGACTAAGTTACATAAGCTCTCAGTTCTTGGTCACTGATCTTAAGGGTTTTTGCAGTGCAGTAGTAAAATTTACTTTTGTGGAACCAGTGATTCTATACCATCTGTTTTGTATTTTGGAGGTTTTTTGCTATAAATAGTAAACAAGCACGACTGATTTGCAGTCTTTGGGTTGAGGTTTTTTGGCACAATAGAATAGTAAAATCCTATTTTTAATCTTGCTGCTTTGAAATTTAAAACAAAATGTATTGATTAAATGAAATCTTCTTAAAAGGGAGGAGAGTATTTGTTTTAAGATAACAAGGAGAGCACTGGCCAGGTGGCTTAGTTGGTTGAAGCATCAACCCAAAATGTTGTGGGTTCAATTTCCTGTTGGGGCACATGCTGGGTTGTAGGTTCGATCCCTGGTCAGGTTGCATATGGGAGGCAGCTGATCCATAATTCTCTCACATTGAGGTTTTTCTCTCTATCTTTCTCTGTAAAATCAGCAAAAACATAGCCTCAGGAGAGGATAAGTATATGAACACATAGATAATAAGGGGCAAATGTTACGGCTCAATTCTTGATGATTATTGCAACTATATAAGTAACTGCTTGAATTGTTTTTAAGACTGACTTTTTTCTTTTTATAGGACCTCTTCATTGTTAGACATGAATTGGCTATAATGAGACTAGCTGCCTTTATGGGCATTACTATGTTAGTTGGAATAACTGGACTCTTTTATACTCAACTAATTGGCATCATCACAGTAAGTATATTTTTAATGTAAAATATTGTGTATATGAACATATTCCTTAAGTATGAACTTAATTCTAAAATGTTACAGGGACTTTAGAAATTAGAGGGGAAAATTACCCAGAGCCATTTATCCCCATTTCCAGAAGCCTTTTTTAATTTTAGTTACAATCATTGAACAGAGTATACATACAATTTTTCACCATACCTTTAAAATTTAGCATAAAATATTTTTATATAGCTGTAGATACCATAAATAATCTTTCCCGTGTTGATCAGGGTCAGTGTGCAATTATTGTTTTATATATTATAAAGAACATTACTTTGAGGAAATGGAGTTACTTATAGAAACATTTTATTAGTAATTATTTTTTTGTATGTACATATTAGCTAGATGGGATTTAGCACAACAGAAAAGATTAAAAAGTATGAGAAATATTGAGTAAGAACTTAAAAGTTTGGCAATACAAGGCATTGCAAAAGATGTAGGGTAAACAGACTTTTTCATATATTGGTTGGGGTGTAAATTACTATACTTTTTGAAGGACAAATTATCAGTGTCTGAAAATTTAAAATGCATAGTCCTTTCTCTGCAAATTTATTCTATAGAGACTATTTAAGTATATGTAAATAAACATGTAATTTAAAAAAGATCATTATTATACTATTCATAATGTATGTATTATATATGAAAACTTAAGTGATTATCAGAATGTATTCAGTGAAAGAAATGTAAGAAAAAACATCAAAATTTACTATAAAGCAATAGTATTCAAGAAAGTATGGTACTGGCATAAGGATAGATATATTCATAAATGAAATGGAATCAAGGATCTGAAGTATACACATATACTTATGGACAATTATTTGCAGTAAAAATGCCGAGACTGTTTAATGGGGGAAGGTAAAGTATTTTCAAAGAAATGATGCTGGGACAACTAGCTATCCACATGCAAAAGAATAAAATTAGACCCTTACCTCACGCCAAGGACATATATGAACTCAAAATGGATCATAAACCTAAATGTAAGATCTAAAATTATAAAACTCATAGAAGAAAACATAGGAGCAAGTCTTGGGTTAGGTAGTAGTATTTTAAATATGACACCAAAAGTGCAAATGACCAAAGAAAAAAAATTAATAAATTGGACCTACTCAAAACTTTTGTGATTCAAGGGACATTATTAAGAATGTGGGGGTGGGGAGGGGAGGAGTGAGAAAACAGTTCACAGAATGGGGGAAAATATTTGTAGATCATGTATCTGATAAGGGACTTGTATATAAAGAATTCTTATAACTCAGTAATAAAAAGACATTCTAATTAAAACATGGGATAAGGACCTACAGGGGAATTTCTTCAAAGCATATATGCAAATGGACAATAAATATATACAAAGATGCTCAACATCATTAGTCATAAAGGAAATAAAAATCAAAACCATAATGCGGTTTTGACTTTACACACAATAGTATGGCTATTAATAATAAAAAAAAATACAGTAACAAATGTTGGTGATACATAGTAAAGTGCTTATAGAGTAGTAATTGAGTCATAAAGTAATTCACAATTACAGTAAACCCTCGATTTTGCAGACCTCGATTTAATGGACTTCAGATTTAGCAGACTGAATTTCCAGTCTGTAGTTCATATGTGAAAATTAACACCCTTTTAATTTTAAAATGCTTTTAACCAAGATTTGCTTATAATTAAATTAATGGGGCTTTGTGTTTGTTATTTATTTAATGCTATTTTTAACAAAATTTAACGAATAAGATAAAATAATTAAAAATTACTTAAATTTAAAAATAGTGGATTTTTAATCTCATTTTCAAGGTTAGAAGTCAACACAACCAGATGTTTCTGTAGACTAGACTGATCTTAAGCCCAATTTTAAAGGATTATCTTTGATTATTTTTAGATTTAATTTTAAACAGGATTTAAATATATGTGCTTATATATTTTTACTAAAATTAATAATGAAGTTAAAGTGTTTTCCAAGCAATCAACTTTAAAGGGAACAGATTATTCTAATTATTCTTAGACTGTTTAGTCTTTTTTTTTTTTTTCTGTTTCTGAATGAAATGGATAGTAATGGTAGTTAATATAATTGATGTCAGAATTTCTTATTGAGCAGTAGTTCACACACAGCCAAGAATAGTGTCCATCTGACAACCAGCAATACTCATGGTGCTGGGTGATTGTGTCAGTCATGTTTCCAGTCACTGGGCTTGGAGAGAGTTAATCAAGAAGTGCAGTAACAGCTGGCCCAGCGCTTCTGGCGAGGTTCTGACAGCGAGCTATTGTACATGTGACAGTGCTCTGACAGTTTCTCTGAATGTTGTATACAAGCATTTTTGTTTTCTGGGCACCATGGAGTTTATGTAATAGATTAAACTTTTGGTGGGGTCTCTGGAGCTTAGTGTTTTTCTCAGTTGTGGTGAGTTTTGGGGTAGGGTGGGGAATATGTATTTACTGGCAGTTTTGTAAAAGGCTTTAAATTCTCAAAGAAAAAATTGAGCTTTTGCTTTTGTCTCACAGGTACTATTGTTGGACTCTGCTTGAATTACTAAAGGTAGCTTAAAGCAAAGCTTTTCCACTTAAAAGGGGGAAATGTCTTCCCCCACACCCCACCCCAGTACTGGCCCCTGGTTACCTAAATAAATACAGAGAGAATTACAATGCAGGGGTAACTTAGTTTTAACCTGATTATGTTATGCAATGAAAAGTACCTGTGTTCACAGTGTTTAATTAGTTTAAATGAGATTATCTATTAAATAACATTCTCATTAGCAGACAGTTAGTGGGTTTACCTGCCTTTTAATATATACCCAGAAATGTGGTTCTGAGATGATTAATCCTTACAGTTAAATTTTGCCAAGTATCCCACTGAATCAATGTGGTGAATTAGCAGCTTTCAGTACAATCTCTGTACAAATTATGTTTGGTTTACTCAACTCCAAACCAGAATTGCAAATATAGAAAACAATTTAAATCAATTTGTGTAATAGTGTAGGGGAATAGTGCGTTTTAACTTTCTTAAAGCATTACTAATTGCTTGGGTGATTAGATAGATGATTTCTTATTTAGTCAGGAAGCTAAACATGAGTTTTCCTTTACTTGCAATTTTCCACACATTGGTTTTTAATCTGACTTTAAAACACTATAGGATTGGAAAAAACAGTGACTCATTTATAGTAACTTGTAGATCTTCTCTCTGTCATATTCCATCAATAGGTTAGTTACTCCCCCTGTCTCAGCCAAAGTAGCACGTTCACTCATCTTCTATTGATTACCAAAAATCTTATTGAAAGTATAAAATTGTATTAAAAATGTAACAGTAGTTAACCTTATGTGTTGATCACAAACATTTTTCAGCTGTTCCCAGTACTTAGAGCAAGGCTTATTTATACAATATATCAGTGTGTGTTATCATCCTCTCTGGCATCCTCTGTGTTTTTGTATAATTATTTCTTGTAAACTTTACTGATTTTGCTAGCTGCTAAGCTCCTGATGCTAAGGACTGTGTCATAATAGTTTCTTAGTAAATTTTTGATAGATGGATTAATGAGTAAATGAATTTTGGCATATGTACTTAGTACTTGGTTTTCAACTAGGTTATAAGTCCCTTGTGGACGTTGGATTTTATTACCACAGTCTCCCATAGTCCTGGTTATTTTAACTTTTATGATAAAATCCACGCTTTTATTTAAACACAATTTTTAAAAATTGCATCTTGATATAATTGAGATACTGTATCTCCAAGTCTTTTCAGAAAGTATTTAGTAGGCAATATGAAATAAGAATGAGGACCGCCATTTATTAAGGGCTTTAACATATATTAACTCCTTTAGTCCCTGTAAAAGACCTGTGAGGTAAGTATTATTATTTGAAAATTGAGATATACAGACTTTTAGTAACTTCCCTAAGGTTTTATATAGCCTGAAAAGAAGTATGGGAATTATTTTGGATAGAGATTTTCAGTGACTATATACATGTAAGATCTCCTGTCCTCTCACTTTAGTTCCATGATTGATTAAATCCTTATGTGAATTTCAGATTTCTAATAAACTATATAGCTGGCCCTCGGTTGAAGATGGATGCCTAAAGGACAATTTATTTCAAATGAAGGATAGCATGAGCTCTGGCTTCAGAGGAGGAGAACGAGCTGATAGTATTAGGAAATGCCTTCTCTTTGCACTGCTAATATAAATTAAAATTAAGGAATAATGTTATTTCTGTCCATGTTCAGTTAGTTTAGTGCTGCAAACATATATTCAGTACTCTTGAACAATATATACTGGTAGACGCTGTGGAAGGTGCAAAGTTAAATGAGCTTTTTACTATCCGAATGTGGATTAGAGATGCTAGAAAGCCAAGCAAAAGCTTATCTTAGAATTAGTAGAAATTAGTAATAAATAAAACAGATATACAATCTCTGGTTCTGAAATTTTTTTTTACTAGTTTATTAGTTCAATTTAAATAAACAGAATCAGTTATGTACAACACCGTTAAAAGCATTGACAAGACCTATAATAAGAGCAAAGAGTACAGGCGATGACTGAGGTAAGATTGAATTGTCTTCAGGGAGGTTTTCTGATAGAATGTTCTTATTTCAAGTCTTCAGTTTGGCAGGTCTAGAAACTCCATTTTGAGTTTTGCGCGGTGGCAGTAGCATAGCTAATGAGGTTTATCCGAGGTGCAATTATTACTAATTGAAAATGTTGCCAGAGTTAATGAAGCCGAGAAGCAGTGATTCTTGCTTCCAGACTTAAAAGTGATAGTTAAAGATATAAACCAGATTGTCACGTGTTTCTAAGGACTCTTTAGATTCTTCTTTCCTATATGACAACATATACGGTAAAGTGTTGGTAAGAATGAACTCAAAGCAGGATAAGCTAGTTGGGTGGATTGTATCATTGAAGTATCTATTTCAAGAGGACTAAATTTCAGGTCTGTCAACCAGGAAACTTCCGGTGATAAAATCTTCCTCTTGCCCCTTCCCCTTCCTAACTTTTCTAGTAGGCAATTAATACCTCCCTCTTATTTTCTGCTAGGAAATTTTCCCCTCTACTTTAGATATAATCTTATTAGTTAGGACACAGCTTTAAAAAAAAAAAAAAGTAATCATATTTTCTTAGGCTGAATCTGAAAGATAATTTCTTAGGGTAAGGTCAGCCATCAGGAAAATTATATAGTACTGATTGATATAAGTAAGGCCTAAATTTCTATAAGTTTTGCTTTTTCTAGTTTATTATTATTATTGTTTTATTTTAGAAAATAAACTCAGTTTCTAAAAATAGGAAAGCATTCTCATATGTCGCTTAGTTATGTAGGCTGAAGAAAGTCTTAGCTATTTGATAATTAGACCATAATCAAAACATAAATATTTCTCTGGAAAAAAAGATATTCTGATTGTAGAGAGCATAAAATAAAAATTTGTTTCATTATTCCTTGAAGAATTTTTCTGGATAGCTGAATTTTACATATCCTATATAATAAAGAGGTAATATTGATCCTCACACCCTCATAAGACAGCTGCTTCCCATGTCATCACAAAATGGCTGCCACAAGATGGCTGGCAGAGGAGGGCAGTTGTGGGCGACCAGGCCTGCAGGGGAGGGTAGTTGGGGATGACCAGGCCTGGAGGGGAGGGCAGTTGGGGGCGACCTCGCTGGCAGGGGAGGACAGTTGGGGGTGATCAGGACAGCAGGGGAGCAGTTAGGTGTCAATCAGACTGGCAGGGAAGAGGTTAGGGAGAGATCAGGCTAGCAGGCAGAAATGGTTAGGGGCAATCAGGCAGGCAGCCAGGCAAGCAGTTAGGAGCCAGCAGTCCCGGATTGTGAATCGGACCTCCCCCGAGGAGTCTCAGTTTGGAGAGGGTGCAGGCTGGGCTGAGGAACAACCCCTTCCAGTGCATGAATTTCATGCACCAGGCCTCTAGAAGCTAATAATTTATATTTATACTCCTCCTTAAGAATAGCAGTTATCTTATTTGTCCTTTTCTGATGGCCACCAAAGGCATTGAATCTTTTAAATTTAGAATTAGTTATGTGCACCAAAATCTATTTTAATTAGTCTTTGTGTGTTTTTCCCTCTAATATTACATATTTCCTTGCATTATAAGCAGAAAAAAAGAATATTAAATATGATTTGGCACTTGGAAATAGCTTATGGTTTTCCATGTTCTAACCAATAGCAACTTCTTTCTTTTCTAGTTTGCTGATTCTGTTGTGTTTATGACTGTGATAGCATAATAAATTCTGTTGCTCTGAGTATGTGTGCAAGTGTCAGTGCAAATATTTTGTGACATGTTTAGTTTTTCATCTACAAACTGTACTTTTTTCTTATATTGTAACATGATTCAGCTAGCTGAGTTTCAGAGAGGTAAGCATTTGCTATTTCTAGAGAGAAAAAAAATAGCCTTTATGTCTACCCTCACAAATAGTGTTCATAAAGTCATGATAAATGTCCCATCCTCTGATAAAAATGACCATCTGTTTATGATGACTTAATAAGCATTAGTCTACTATTGAACTAGATTCTAGAAAGATGTCAAAAGCACTTGAAAAGAAAAGCTTTTCCCATATGAAGTCTAAATCCAAAGTCTTTAACGTTGATTCTTTTTTTTTTTTTTTTTTTAATATATTTTTGGAGGAAGGGAAATGGAAAGAGAGATAGAAACATCAATGATGAGAGAGAATCAGATTGGCTGCCTCCTCCACACCCCACATTGGGGACTGAGCTTCTATCCTGGGCATGTGCCCTGACTGGGAATCCACCCGTGACCTCCTGGTTCATAGGTCGATACTCAACCTCTGAGCCATGCAGGCCAGGCAAAGTTGATGCCTTAAAAAAAAAAAAAAAAAAAAAAATATATATATATATATATATATATATATATATATATATATTATTAATTTTTTTTTTTTTTTTACAGAGAGGAAGGGAGAGGGAGAGAGAGTTAGAAACACTGATGAGAGAAAAACATTGATCAGCAAGCAGCCTCCGGCACACCCTCTACTGGGGATGTGCCCACAAGGTACATACCCTTGACCGGAATTGAACCTGGGGCCCTTCAGTCCACAGGCTGATGCTCTATCCACTGAGCCAAACCGGTTAGGGCTAGTTTTCATTTTTTAAGTATTATCCACAACTGCAATTTTAGTTCATTTGTATGTACCTTAACTAATAGCACTTGACTTCTTTCTTATCTTTTTGTTTTTGTGCACCACTATCTCAATTGTTTTTGGAGCAACCTGTCACCCATCAATTCTAAGACACCATTAAAATTACTTGTCACTTTAAATACAGATGTGAAACCAGAGGCTCAGTTTTCCTTTAAGTCCCTAATCAATGATGTCATGTATTTGCAGACTGTGCTTTCACAATGTAAAACATTATTTTGAGGAAGTTATGCAACAGAACCAAGAAAGGTTCATTATAGGTAGAATTGTCATTGGATATCATGAATTTCAAAGCATAATAGGAAAACCAATTAATAGAGAGTATGTAGCTAATCTGCAGTCTTGTCCCAAATTCCTAGGTAATCTGGAAATAAAATTCTATTATTGGTTACTTGGACATCTTAATAAAAAGATTATTATTTTTTCTGTATATGGGCTAACTGTAGTTATTCTGTTCATGCATAAGAAATTAATATTTTAGCTAATTATGTAACTTCTACTACAAAGAGTCTTTTAAATTGAAGGTATTTTTTATTAGTTTCATTGGAGGAACATTTTACAACCAAAAAAGTTCTTGGGATTGCAGTTGAAACCAGAACTATTTGCATGAATAATACTGCTTAATAACAGTACAGCCCACCTGCCGTTTGTGAGCACGCTAGTGGAGGAGAATTACTTCTGTAACTTTCTGGTTTATTTAAAAGAAGCTATTTTCTTTTATACTCTTTTGAAGTATACTTAAAATGTAAATATCTAAAGTAAGATTATGTACTTTGTCTTGGTTATTATTTAAATAATAAGTTTCTCAATCTAATGATAGATCTTCTGTTAACATGAGTTGAACCAGCATGTCTAAAAACTACCTTTTGTTTGTTGACTTGTTTTTCTTATATGTTCATTATTATATAAAGCATATAAATAGAAATTGTATTATTATGGAGTGGCTGATTTTTCTGTTGAAAAAAGGAAATTGTTTGTTCACCAAAGGACTCTGATGAGCTCACTTCACTTTCAGAGTACTGGGTGTTGTGGTGTGGCAAGTGCAGGGGCCTTGTTGAGTCTGTGTTTTCTCAGAAGAGCAAGCCTTTGGCTCTTTGTGCGTTAGCCTTTCATTTGTCATTTTTGGTATTTATTTTTAATGCACCTGCATGGCAGTTGAATTACAAATAGATACTGGACTTTTAAAAGAATTGTCAAGGAAGCAAACATAATTTAAAAATATTACATTAATGAAGTGAGACTCCTACAGTTTTTGTGAGGTTTTGTAATTGAATAATATTTGTGGAGTGGGAGTACAATGTAATTATGATTCTGTTTTTTCCAAGGAATTTCAGCAATGTCTGTAGATAATTTAGAAATCTTATTACTCATGAATAAACTGCTTAAATCTTCAGAATATTCTCTAGATATGATTTTAAAACATTGAAAATTAATATAGAATAAAGTCTTAATAACTTTGTTCTGAGTATTTTTCTTAATTTTTAATAGGATACAACATCTATTGAAAAGATGTCAAACTGTTGCGAAGAAATGTAAGTATAAAAGTGAAGTCTATAGAGTTCTTACTAAAAATGGAAATAACTGGCCACATTTGAAAAAAACATAGGGGAAAGATAATAGAATGATGTTTTTTTTCTTGGAGCCTTGTCTAAGGCTTGAGCTAGGCAGGCATAACCTATTCTTACATCTGGGGTCTTCTAGCTATGCTAGTTTTCATACAAAATAAGTACTGATCATTCTTGTTACTTGTCTCACTAAAGTAAGTTAAATTATTTGTCCTGAAAGTACATCAAAAGAGATTTGCTACTGTGTTGTTGACACACATTCTGTTAATACTGGGATTCTACTCGGCTTCAAAAGTTGCCGTAGGTTGATTGACGACACAGATACAATATCTGCTCTCCAGAGTTAAAACTCAGCTGCATGCCATAATGAAAGGAAAGCTGTATTTGTGATGCTGGGACATAATTCATCAGAGTCCTGTAATGGATCCCCAGCCAACCTGTATTGTTTTAGCTGACTGAAGTGCACCATGGGAGTGCTGTCTTTCACTAATAATGCTGTCTTCTGTAGATCGAGGCCCCGAAAGCCATGGCAGCAGACCTTCTCAGAAGTTTTTGGCACTCGTTGGAAGATCCTGTGGTTTATTCCTTTCAGGCAGAGGCAACCACTGCGAGTTCCCTACCACTTTGCCAATCACGTCTAAACAGATGGATGGTGGGCACAGATGGGTCCTCCATGCTGGAAATGCGTTACAGGTTTTCTGATAATAGAACGATGACAGTCTTCAAGTCAATTAAAATCCACCCACCAATCTTAGGCATCATAATGTGCCCCAGGCTTTATTTTAATAGTGATCTTGATCCTGTTGTGGGACTAACACAAGATCTATAGTTAAGTTTCAAAGCATGTTTACTTTCAAATTAGCTTTCCACGGGGATTTCTTAAAGTGCTTTTGTTATTAAACTCAAAAGGCAGTGATTGGGATGAAATAATTGTACATAATTTCTTTTAGCACTGACAATATTACAGATTTTAATTTATGGGAATTTTCAGATGTTTATTTGAAATTTTCACTCTTGAGCAGTACTAATCAAATCTGAATTTAATTCTTCAGCTTTTACAAAAGGTTTTACACCTTATATGTGAAATTTCTTTTCAGTACAGTTTAAAATATGTTCATACTTTTATATATACTACAAATGTAGCATAGGATTGAACAACAGAAAAAAGGCAGTGTTTTCTTAGTAGCTTTCTAATGTTTTCTCTTCACCAAAAAAACAAAATAAAAATACCACTAAAATAAAGCACCAACTATCTACCTTACATTAAAGGAAAGATTAAATGTTTTTCCATGTTAATTTTTCCACTTCTTTTCCCTGTACTATTGTAAGTATTGATTGTTGTTAATATATTTGTTCCAAGGAGAAAACTGACTAAGTGGGCATGTATTCCTATTTTATCCTAATATTTTGGTGAGCAAATGGATAGAGAATTTGCAATAAATTCCACAGACACCTTTTCTAGTGCAGTTAAACCAGAATGAGTGTTTTTAAAATACTAATATAACTAGAAAATGTATAATGTACGGTATAAAGAGGAATATTGTACTTTTGAAAAATATATATACTTTTTGCTCTTATTTACCTACTAGTAGATCTAAAAATTACACAAGGAAGGTTTATATATAATAAATATAGGCCAGCTATTCCTGAAACAAAATTATAGGAAATTATTAGTAAAAGTAAATAACTTTTGTGTACCTACAATCAGTCAGCCAAATTGAATTTAAATTTTAATGGGCCAACTATAATTTGGATTGAGAGACTTTTTTTTTGTAGCTAATGTTAGGAAAAAGCCTTAAAATAAGAAAATATATCGATAATGATCTACATTTGTCATTAGCCTTACACAAATTTAAATTGCTAAAAATGATGGTCTCTTGGAAAGCATAGAATATTTGTATAAAAAGAACTTTAGCATACTTAGAAAATAAATTCAGCTTTAGACTTTTTTCCATTAGAATACTGCAAAATCCATATATCTTTTTTTGAAAATGTATGTGCTCACAGTATTTCTCTTGAATCTTAGAGGAGATTGAATGGATCTACTGTTCTTGGAACATCTCAGTAGTTTCCTTTTACTTAGCTTTGATGGTAGAGTGTCACACCTGAGAAATCATGAAACAGAAAGTTGCCATATCAGCCAGTTAACTATACTGTGGTTAGTTCTTTCAGAAACTATCTTTTAAAAGAATAGCATTAGCTGTTCTCAGAAATATAAGTGCCATGTCTTACATGTTCTGATTACAATGCTTTATTATTTAAAAGTATAGAAGTGGCAGATGAAAATATGTATGAGTGCTGATAAAAAGCATAGTAAATTTAATATGAGAAATTTATTTGTAGAGCTTAATGAACCACATTATATGCTCATGTCATGGAAATGGGTTGGGTTTTATGCAAGGTAACATATTGACCAAATTTGGCCTGATGGGCCAAACTGTTATAAGGAAGTAATGTATAGACAATGCAGATAGATATCAATTGATTGCTCTACTAACTGGACCTTGAGAGAATAGGGAAGTGTGAAGTGAGGATCCCTTGAAGAGCGTTGTATCCCTTAGCGTCAGTTATACTTCATGTAGTACTAGTTACCTTAAAGGTATCTGGGAGGTTCAGAGCTAACTTCTGCCTCCGTAATGAGAACCAGAGGTGGTCCCTTTCCCACTCGAAGAGGGTTTTGTTTTCCTTAGATTTACCATGTCTAGGGCACATTCTCTTCCCTCTTGATACCCTTGCCGATCTGATCCCTCTGTATCTGAGTCCTTTCTGGTACTGGAATAAAAACTAGCACACTAGGCAAGACATATATTTATTTTGTTTAAACGGTAGAAATGCTACATATCAATATATTTATATAAGATTCTATATTAAGGTATATCTATATATACATGTGCTTTAATTTTCAGTATTCTCAAATTAGCACGCCTAACTGTGGGTTTAGCCTTTGTTAGACAACTTGAGAAAAACCAGCGGGTAGTTTCCTAGGGAGTGCATGAACTCTAGTGCTCTCTCTGCGCCCTCTTTTGGCTAATTGGTGTAATTATTCTGGCTCTAGAGACTTACTGCCCCATGAGTAAATTGAATAGCCAAATTCTGAACCTAACAGAGGTACAAGCTTAGGGGAGTGTATGTTCAAGGCTGTTATATTTTATGAAAATTAATGTGTTCCTGTTTATGATGACACATATAGTTCATACAAAATGATGACTAGTTTGCTTCATTTGCTTATGCTCTTATATACATATATATATATTTGCTGGTATTTACAAGTTTATATCAGATCAGGATAAGCAAATGTAAACATTTCATGAATTTTATTTTAAACCTTATTTTGGCAAATTAAGTCTTTAGAATTAGACGTCATTACTTGAAAATTACCAATTTATTAGGAAACACAGAAATACAGGAATCTATTGTTACAATGGTAAGCAAGTATCTAATGTGCTTTACTGAGTACCTAAAAAATACATTTAGTCTTTTTAATCTCAGTTTTGGAATGATTTTTTTCTGATTCTTTTATACTAAAATAATAAGATTAATAATTCTTTTTAAACTTTCCTACTCAGAGTTATAGCTCAAGCTTTAGTAGCGAATTTATTATGTATTCTGGATAACCCTGAAAATAACTAATGATGTTAACCAATTATGAGCTGCTGTTTGGTGAAGTAGTTCCTTATAAACATTTCATTTGAAGCAAAATGTATTTTAAAGGATATTTTACTCAGCAAAGTCATTAATTGGGCTTCGGGAGATAAGTTTTACATAGATATATATTATACCTCTTGAACAATTACATTTTTTGTTGTTCTTTTCCTTAAACAAAAAATATTTATGGGCTGAAGATTGTAAGCAAAAATTGACTGAGTTCTCGTTCCCCAAACAGTTAAAGTGCTTTTGATACTTTGTAACTAAGACTTACAGTTTAAAAATACTAAATTAATTAATGTTCCATTATTTTAAAAAATACTATTTTGCTTAAGAGTTGTATTAAAAATATTTGTGGTTAACATGAGATAGCTATATTTAAAATTTTAGTTTATACATTAATGTCTTTAACAGAAGAAAACATAGTTTACTTTTAATAGTAATAGTGGTAGAGAACATAAGCTACATAAAATTCAGTATAATGGCAAAGTTAAAACTTCTGTGAGAATGAACGTCAGTAAATTTTTGCTAATGTTTAGAGGTATTTTTCTCTAAATATAGTAGCTAATTATAACTATACTTCATCAGGCCTTTTCAGGCTACTTCTGTACAAGCAATTAGTTGAAGATATGTTTCAACCAAAAGGACTTATTCTGAAAGCTAACCATGAAGACTTAAGTTAGGACAACACTTCCAGCTAGGAAGTGTGAAGTAATTTAGATTATGGCCACACAATCTTTTATTGTTAAGTCATAGGGCAGTTTGAGTGTTTTCACATAAATTGCTATAAAATCACAATGTGTGCAGCCCTGGTTTACAATGGCATTAATATTAACAAAGCTGCTAGTCTTCCCCTGGATTTTTCTCTAATCTCCAATGGCTTCCCTATGCTTCATGGAGAAATAGATCACATAGCTCAAGTTTATACCATTGCTGCTTCATTCACTAAGTCTTTTACATGACTTTTAATATACATAGATCTACCTAGAATTTATTTGGTAAAGTTTATACTTACAAACGTTAAATAATTTACTAATAGATACAGGTATTGGATTTTTTACCCAGTTCTCTTGCTTTAAAAAATATAAGTATTGGCAAATGTAGTTAATAATCATGTACATTTAGTATGTTCTACTTGCTAGTTTTTTTTATTTATTTACTCAGTATTTATTGTTTTTACCACTTCTAGAAATTATGCTAAGCCTTGAGAATATAAAAATAAACAAAACAGATCCCTGCCCATATGGACTGTAATATGGAGATTACAGTCTACATACTTTATGATATTCTAGAAATCAACTTAAAAAAAAAAGTTCTTAGTTAGAATGTTAATATAGTTATAATTGTTCCCATTATATAATTAAAGAGTTGGGAAGTATCAAGAAAGGCAAGAAATTAATATCTTAAACCAGAGGAAAAATTAAGGATGATTTTCAAAAACTTAATTCTGAAAATAAAGTAGTACTGAGAAGGTATCAAAGGTGACATTAAAAATTTTTCCCTATAGACATTTTTTATTAAAAAATTTAGGCAAAACTTGTTTTTACCTAGTATGTGCTGGATTTTTGGCCATTCTGTGCTTCCTGTGCAGACTGCAGTTTAGCACACAGAAGCATATAATTCATGTAATCTATTAATGTATGATTAACATTGGCTACCAAGTGTTTCTTCCAAGGAACTGTAACACACTCACGGACAGGTTATCCTATATTATACAAGATGTCCAACCCGGCAATACTTCTTCTATCTCTGACTACATAAACAATTCCCAAATATGTCCTCACACATGCACTCAAAGCTAAGCTCCACTCAATAGCCATCATTTAACAATAGTCTCAGCATCACTTCATCGTTTAGAGCATACTGAATGGCAGGCACTGCATTCAGGACTTCTTTGCAATGGATATCCTTATTAGAAACAGCAAAATCCAGTGCAGCCCTCCTCTCATCATCACAGCTCTTGGAAATGTGGTAAGCAAGCAGAGGATCGATGACAAAACCATTCCCAATTAGGCACTGTGCTTTTGCCCATCTGCTGTTGAGTGAATTGGTGTTAGCTCACATTTCCAGATTCCATGCTTGGTGGTTATTGGGGTAAGATATTTCAGTGCAAGATAATGTCCCTCATAGGCAGCTCAGTGTAAAGAAAGATGTCCTTCTCTGTTAGGTACATGTCTGCTTCCTCTATATCCCAGCAGGAGAGAAATGTAATCAGAATTGTCCCCTCCTGCTGCTCAAACAACACTAATATCCCATCATTTGCCAAAGCAGACACATTACCATCTTTGAGGATTAGATGTTTCAGCACATCACAGAGACCATACCCAACAATAGAACCTACTGGTGTGACTCCAAACTGTCTCAGGTGACATTGCCAGCAGATTTATGAGATCTTTTCAAAATATGTAATATATATTGCAAACGCACGCACGCACGTGTGCACACACACGTATATCTCTTGATTTCAGAGGTGAAAGGAGAGGAAGAGCAAGAGAGACAACAGAGATGACAGAAAATCATTGGTCAGCTGCATCCTGTACAACCGTGACCTGGTTCATAGGTTGATGCTCAGCCACGGAGCAACACTGGCCAGGAGCCACACCGGTCAGGCGTAGGTCTTTGTAGCCTTGTTTGGCTGCCTCATGCATGGCCAACAGTTGTTGACACAGGGCTGGTCAAGGCTGGTAGTGTGTTAGAGCAGAGCAGACACTGTCAGAGGAGCCCTTTTAAACAACTTTAAGATTTTAAAAAGAACACTTGACAGTAGGCATATTAACATGAATATCTTAGATGATATTAAACAAGTTACCAATTTTAACATCAAAAGAGATTTTTGCCATTCTCTTTTACAGGAGAATATTTTATTTTTCGTACCCCTTTCATTTCTTATATCCAAATTTCTATTGAGGAGTGTAAGCATGCAGGATAATACCTTCTCTTTAAGATCCTGATCTGAGCAGGTTTAAGAGTTGCATGAAAGATAGTAGTACACATTGCTAAGATGTTGTATATAATCTTTCTAAATTTTAATGTTTTGATTAACAATAAAAATGACATCCACTGTTGGATTGTGTAAGTTAAATGGCGTATGTACAAGGTTTCATATATACTAGGAGTGCAGTAGATGATTACTATTATTATTAAAAATACCATTTCATCACTTCTAGGATCCTGGAATCACATGTGTATATAAAATGTATCAAGTTTCCCCCCCTCTCAACAGAGGTGTGATGCTTTTTTCTTCCTATGCTCTTAATGGGGGTTCAGCAGTAGGAATGTTTAGAATCTAGGTAGGCCAGTTGTTCTAAGCAGATGAAGCATATGATGGCTAACGTACTCCCTTCTCAGAGGCCTTCTAAACCAGATCTCTACCCCCCCTCTGGTTGTCGCTAGTGGCTGAAATTACACTGTTCAAAGTGTTTCCCCCTTTAGATGAATAACAGATTTTTCCAGCTTAGTTATAACTATTTCTAAAAATGTAATGCATTTTCTCTGATCAAAAAGGGGGAAGAGGAGAGGACAAAGAGGAGAGGAGAGAGGGGAAGGAGGAGAGAGCTACTTACTAACCTATAATTAACAAATGAATTAATGTGTTACTTCATGTTCATATTTTTTTACCTTCTAAGAATCATCCTCTGAATTTATATATAAACTAGAGGCCAAGTGCACGAAATTCGTGCTTGGGGGGGGGGGGCGGGAGGGAGGGTTTGTCCCTCTGCCCAGCCTATACCCTCTCCAATCCAGGACTCTCACAATCCAGGACTGCTGGCTCCCAACTGCTCGCCTGCCTGCCTTCCTGATTGTCCCTAACTGCTTCTTCCTGCCAGCCTGATCACTCCCTAATCACTCCCCTGCCAGCCTGATTGATGCCTAACTGCTCCCCTGCTAGCCTGTTTCCCCCCAACTGCCCTCCCTTGCAGGCGTGGTTGTTCCCAACTGCCCTCTCCTGCTGGCCTGATTGCCCACAACTGCCCTCCTCTGCAGGCCTTGTCCTTCTCAAATGCCTTCCCCTGCTGTCCATCTTGTGGTGGCCATCTTGTGTCTACATGGGGGCAACTATCTTTGACCACATGGGGGCAGCCATCTTGTGTGTTGAAGTAATGGCTAGTTTGCATATTACTCTTTTATTAGATAGGATAGAGGCCTGATGCACAGGTGGGGGCCAGCTGGTTTGCCCTAAAGGGTGTCCCAGATCAGGATGGGATTCCCTTGGGGTGTGGGGTGGCCTGGGTGAGGGGCCTGTGGTGGTTTGCAGGCCGGCTACACCCCCAGCAACCCAACCGGAGGCCTGGTACTTGGAATTTATTTATCTTCTATAATTGAAACTTTGTAGCCTTGAGTGAAGTCCTGGGCTGGCCAGGGTGTGCGGAAAGTTTGACTTCCTCCATTGCTGGGGCAACTCCAGCCTTCTGCTCTTTCCATCTTGGTTGGGTTAATTTGCATACTCACTCCTGATTGACTGGTGGACGTGACTTGTGGGTGTAGTGGAGTGATGGTTAATTTGCATATTGCTCTTTTATTAGATAGGATTACAAATTTCATTATACTCTGAACTTAGCCCTTCTCTAGAATATTCTGCAGTAGGATGTGAGAAAGTAATAGAAACAACTTTCTTAAAGTATTTTGAACCGATGTTATTATACTATGTGGTGTTTAGCATTCTCTGCTGTTTTTAGGATGATGGTGGTTTAACTTCAAGAGAGTGACTGTTTGCTCAGACATCTCATTTTATTATCATTGTGCAGTTTTTAACAACAAAATTTACTGTATTTTCATTTGTTCTTTAGATGTTGTAATTGTGCTAATTTGAAACAGAAATAACAATGGCATTTAAAATTATTAAGTCATTTGATATTGTCAAGGTTTTCCCACTACCATATTTCTTTACTATTATGTTCTTTTCCTCTAGTCCACCATAGAGGACATAGAGTACAAAATTGGAAAAAGAAAACAGGGATACTTATTAAAATGGTGAGAAAGCCAGGCGGAGCATGGAAAATAGCATCTAAGCAACAGAGTAGACTGAATGGAGTTCTGTGGCATCAGAAACTCCCCCTGCTACAGTCATATTAGCCTTATCCATTGTATTGTATTATAAGAGTTAAAGTATGAGGACATTTAATTTGAGTTATCTTATCTACGGAGTTTATATTGCTGATTCTCTTCAGCTGATCAGATGCCTTTGAGAAGTTATTTTAAACAGTAAAGTATTAAGAATAATGTGAAAGGTGCAGCTATTTAATGCTGAGTAGACATGAATAGATTGCCCGGAAGTTTGATTGAAAAAACTGGGACCTTTTTCACAAGCATACTATTGCAAAGAAAGGATACTAAGTATTATAGTAAATTTTGTCAAAGTAAAAAAATCAAGAATTTATATATAAGGAATGATTTTTCACTTTAAAATTTGGGGTATTTGGCATTCTTGATACCTTGAAGGTCTCCATACCTATTAGTATTGTGAATGCCTGGAACATGTAATGCAGTGCTTGCCACAGTGGTTCAACACTCTGATCTTTTTAGTATTGATATTTTAGATATTAACAGTGATGAGGGCAAAATGGCAACAAAAAAGGTATGTTTCTTTTTGTGGCTTTGCTTGATTGTTTGAGGAAATACAGGGTTTAACTACAGGGAAAGGTTGTCTTCATGTTGCAAGTTCTATGTTCCTGCCAGTGTTCACTGGGTGACATTTTCACCTGCTGGTGCCTGAAGTTAGTGTTTTACAACCTCAACTCAAACACCCTGGTGCTACTCATTTAGCCTTGAGTGACATTTTCATTTCCGGTACCAAAGAGTTAATTTTCTTTTCGGTTGACCGAAAGTTTTCTTCTCACATCCTTGTGTTTATAAAGTAAAATTTAATGTTACTAAGAACAATTTTGATTAACAGATCTTGGTTTTTACACACTGCTGCCTCAATTTAATTGGTTTTAAAGGTTTCTCATTTGAACTTTTTTTTTTAGATAGGCAGATTAGTATGGTTTTTTATTTTGTATTTTAATATAGATTGACTACTGACTACTGTAAAAGTTTAGTAGGTTGAAGTTGCAAAAGATAAAGCACTTTTCACAAGATATTTTGGTTTTGCTTTATTTCTGCAGGAAAAAATGAGAAATAATAAGTCTACTTTTATTTCTATAAGTGAACTATCTAGCTTATTGGGCCCTTTTAGTGAATGCTGAAACAAAATGATAACGTGGAAAGGTTAGGGACCTTTCTGATTACAAATGAAGAACTCTGCTTCTTGCTCTGTGTGTAATCCGTAATGCCATTGAGGAGTGATGCTGTCATTTGTCTATTTTGTAAACAAGGTTAGAATTACAAAACACTTAAAAAATATACATATACCAGGTGTCCCAAAAATACACACACTTCAAATAATTACTAATTCTAATTGATTAAATCTGAAAAGAAAGAAAAATCAAATGAGCTGTCAGCTGTTAAGTGTGTATACATTTTTGGGGACACCCTATATATATAAACACTTCCAAAGAGGAAATGCAAATATACTTGATTTAAGCAAAATTGTAATAGAAAATTGAACTTTACAAAAAAAAAAAAAGTCTCTATGCTGTTATTCACTTAACATAAAAAAATTAAGAATAAGAGTATTTTAAAAACTTAATTCTTCTTAGTAATTCATTTTATAAAAAATGGGAGAAATATAAAGTACTTACTTATAATTGTCCAAATGTAATATTGCTGTTTACTATTCTGTTTTTCTATGTTTCCTAAAACTTTCAAAACATTCATTGGGTGACCTTAAAACCATGGCTGAAATTGTTAAAAATTCTGGCAGGAAGGTAACAGTGTGTATGTATTGAAAAATTAGACAGTCACATTTGAGAATGTTTTGCATCATTTTCACTCAACAAATATTCTCTCATTGAATGTAGATACAATATAGGGTTTTGCAGTGAATTCTGAATGGAAAAAAGAATCAAGTCTAAAACTTATATGAAACATGACTTAGGATCATTTGAATGATCTGTAGAAATAGAGATATAGATGTCATGAGAGGTAAAAGCAAAATGGGAAGAAGCAACAATATGTCTTTGTCAACAATATATTTCTTAGATTTTGTTGCCACAATATTAGTACTGAGTTATTCAGCTTGTTAATGCATTATTTAAATTAATGTGGCTGAATGTAGCTATTTATTCAAGTGATTGGGTAGTAGAGAGTTCACCACTATCCTCTGTCTTCCAGAGATGAGTATTAAAAAGAAATTTCTAGTGCATAGGTACACTAAAGCAGAGATTCTCGACATGAGTTGCGGGTCTGCGGGAGAACAGGGTAGGCTTTGGGAGGACTGAGCACAGGTGAGTGTGCTTGTATGAGCTTTATGTCCCTAAAATTAGCCTTTAAAAAAAAAAATTCTAGCAAGTTTAATGACTAAGCAAAATCTGTGATATTTTGAGACTTCTAAAATTGTGTATCAGCCTCAAATGGTATCTAATATTATATATCTCTAAAATAAAGGACATCTATTTTAATAATGGTATGTTCCAATTCCATATAAAGATGCCATTTTTCTTTTTGTTTTTTAATTTATTTTAATTGTTGAAAATATTGCAGATGTCCACCCTTTTTCCTCATTGACCCCTTCTAACCCGACCCCATCCCTTGCCCCAGGCCTTTACTGCTTTATTGTCATGGTCCATGTGTTACGCATATATCATACAAGTTCTTTGGTTAATCTCTTCCCACCCACCCCTGGCTTCCCTCTGAGATTCCATGGTCTGTTCCATGCTTCTGTGTCTCTGGATCTATTTTGCTCATCAGTTTATTTTTGTTCTTTAGATTCCACATATGAGTGAGATCATGTGATACTTGTCGTTCTCTGACTGGCATATAAAGATCCCATTTTTAAGTTATTCAGGCAGTTATTTCATTCAGTGGATATGTTTACATTTAAGTGCTAATGCCACATTGTCTATTTCACCTTGTCTGCTCCCCTAAGATTTCTTAAAGTCTTCACTACCTTTCCAGTGCTGATGGTAATGCTAATAGTAAATATGGAAAATAGTTGAGAAGTAATAGACTAGATTGAAAAGAGGGAGAGGAAAGAGGACAAGTGTAAACCATGTGTCTCAGATATACTCGTTTAAATGAAGAGTCTACACTGGTTCTTAAAATGAAAAGCAAACTATGTATCTACCTTAAGAATAATGTTGTTGTTTAATTTATTTTAATGATTTAGTTTTGTTCTTGTAATAGTTCTATTTTTCTTTGAAGATTGTTTTTAATTTAAATTGTGGAATTTTTACTTCTCTTGAAAGGTATTATGTAATGTATTTTTAGAAATCTTATTTTTAAATAAATATTTTTTAAAAAACATTGGACTGTCTTTCCCCCCTTCTTTATTTATTAAAATCAAATCAAACTCTACCACATGTGTCAAACACAAGGCCCGAGGGCCAAATCCATCCCGCCAGGCCTTGCAATGTGGCCCGCACCGCGCTGTCATCACTGCACTCCGCTGCGTTTCCATCACAATGACAGTTTATGACTGTTGAGTAAACCATTCAGCCCGCGATTTAGGCTGGATTTTAGATTTTGGCCCCTTCTCTGATTGAGTCGGACTATAGCACTATCAGTGTAACAGATCAGTTTTTTAAAAGTTTTCTACAATTTGGATGACTATTCGAAATTAGTAGCCTTAGGATATTGTTCTACCATAATCAAAAATGTGTTCAAGAAGAACTAGGTACTATGGTGGAAATTGGCAAATGCAATATTCCAAATTAGGCATATTTGTCTTAGAGATGTCCCAGATGGATAGATTTCATCACACAATTGAACATTTATTGGGCCAGACACTTTTGTATGGAAATATTTTCTTCTTTGAGGAGTTATTTACATAAAATGCAGAGTTTTAGAGTATGTCTAGGTATTATTTTAGATCTAGGAATATTGAATTACTTTGCCTTTAGTCTAATGAAGTTATATTCTAAGAGTTTTTTGATAACATTTTATTGACAAATTTCTGACGTCTGAATTTAAAGTTGCTTTACTTGTACATGGGAGTTGTCACAGAGGAATGTATATTAGTATAAATTGTCAAAAATATCTGAAAGGACAAATCAGTATATCTTAGAAGCAGTGAAGAAATAAAAACTGCCCTGAGGCTGATAGATAGAGGCTTGACGTTTTATTTTTAATTTCTTGAATTTTTATTGCCATAAAATAAAGTTGATAAATATTCTGGATTAGTACATTAAATGACTTGGTATAGTTGCATATGAAACTGTAAACTTTGTTGTATTGGTAAATGAAACCAAATTGTTGCATTTTTTACAAACTGTCAAGGATTATACAACTTTAATCTTGTTCCCTTTCCAGTTTCCTTTGCTCTGATTCTAAGCAGCATTTACAATAATTATGCTCTCTTAATAATGATAAATTATGATTCTCAATCTTTTTGGTCTCAGGACCTTTACACTCATAGACATTATTGCGGGCCCCAAAGAGTTTTTCCTTACATAGGTTGTCTTGATCAGTACTGACTGTGTTAGAATTTAAAGCTGAGAAGTACTTAAAATGCTTATTAATTTATTTGAACATAATAACAAGCCCATTGCATGTTAACAATGTATTTTTATTTAGAGACCCATGATTTTACATTGTTGGCAGACCTCTAATATCTGCCATTATAAAAGAAAGTTGGATTTGCATACTGCTTCTGCTTTCAATCCATTGCATTGGTATTGTGGTTGAACTCTCCAGAGAAATCCAGTCTCATGTAAATACTGTACAGATGTTTCATGACTTAACAATGGGGTTACATTCCAATAAACTCATCATATGCTGAAAATACTATGAATGAAAGTACATATAAGACACATAAACTTCTGAACATCATATCTTAGCCTGGCTGGTTTCTATTGAATGTACATTGTTTTCGCACCATTGCAATACCTTAAGCTGGGGATCATCTGTAGTTAGAAATGAGGAATATTTTCATAGTTTGTTCAAATGACTGTGCACATCTTTTGTGATACAAGACAAAAACTCAACATGTGACGTTTTCTTAAAGTTTCGTTATAATCTTGGACCAGAAACAATACAAAGAAACTTTTTATATTCTGTTATATTAAAATCTATTTGTCTCTTTTTTACTTTGGAAAGTTCTCTTAACCCATACATGATTTTATGACACCATTCATTGGTCATTTGGTAAGTCCTGGAATAATGCTGATTTTCCAAGTGTTGACACAATTCATTCTATAAGTTAAACTGGGTTAAGTTAAATTTAAAAAATTAATAGTGCCACTGATCTTGTCAGAAAAGTAAGTACGGGAAAGCTGTTAAGCTTGTAATGATTGACACGTTACGTTTTTCACAATTCTGATTTTCACTTGAAGGTTTGAATTTTATTATTGGTAACCACATTCTGTCAGTGGTTTTCCTTGAAGTGTTATATTCACTCATTTTTTAGAAAATATTTGCCATATACCCACATGTGAAAAACCACAGTTTGTCAGTTATTTTTTTCAACTAAATGGGGTTCTGTGAAAAACATGGCTACTTCAGCTTACAGCTCACAGTCACACTAGTAAGTGTCCTCAAGAATAAACGATAGTACTTTGGAATACAGGTGAAACGCTTTGTGTACTGCCCATGTTGACAAACAGAATATTAAAAATATACTCAAAAACCAAGATTTAATAAAGTTAATCATACTGATTCACCAAGGGGATTACTAAAGACATCATTTGTATTTGTATATTTCTGCTTTTGAAGCACTTAAAATATATAGCATCCTTAAAGATTAATATCTATTTAGCATTAGAAAACAGAGAAAAACTAAATATACATGATAATATAATACTGCAAAATCATTTGAGAAGCAGCCAGATCCTGTAGAAGAACAAATGCAGGCAAATGCTGCTTGAGGCTGACCGATTACCCATAGGAGCAGCAATTATATTAGCGTGCAAGGGCAATTGGAGGGAAAATTGGACCCTGTGGACATCCAGCTGAGCAAACAGGACTGAGGAAGGATAGAGGATGTGTGTTAGTTAGAAAAAAAAATACATCTAAGCTTGCTTAAAAAATATTTGTATCAGTCACAGCACATTCTTTGTATGTCTTCTGGTTGCGCGTGGTTTTCAAATAAAACCCTCTTCTCCAAACAAGAGAACACCTCTGCTTAAAGCCCAAACACCCAAATAGCAATATGTTTTACACATAAAAAGGCCAGAGTAATTCAGGAAATAGAAAACTTTGAGTACACATATCCAAATATTCAGATGCTACTGTACATATACACATGTGTCACCAGTGGTCCTTTAACCGTGGCATGGTCTAGATATGTATCCTTAATACTGAAATTTATTATTATAACTAGAAGTGTCCCCTAGCTCTAACTTGTGATGATTTTTTACAAAAACTGAATGATTAAGGATCTAATATGATGTGGAGGTTTTATAGTTCAACATTGAACTATGGATGAGAAATCCTTGATGAATAAGTGATCACCATCAAGTTAGTGAAATTTATTGTATAAATTGTACAGTAAGCTATGTAGCTGTAAGCCAAATACCTTCATTCTATTGAACAGGTTCACATTTAAATTGCAACTAGAAGTAACTGATTTCAAAGTTTTTTGGATAGTCTACACTTGTTATGACTTGATGTTCTTGAGTGTTTGAAAGCATTTCATATATTCTCCACATGGAAAAGTACCCACAATATGGAAAATAATAATTCATGCACATGTTTTTGGTTTTGGAAATAACCTCAGTAATTTGAATGATCATGATATTCATACCCTTGTAGAATTTTCTCCTTTTCCATTACTGGAGTTAACACAATTCTAAGTTTGGAATGTATCATCACATACATGTATTTATATTTTTATGTGTATAAACATGAAAAATAGTCTGATCAATATTTAAAATTTATATAAAACTCTTTATAGCACTCCCTGCTTTCTTTCCTCTACCAGTGGTTGGCAAACTCATTCATTAGTCAACAGAGCCAGATATCAACAGTACGATGATTGAAATTTCTTTTGAGAGCCAAATTTTTAAACTTAAACTTCTTCTAATGCCACTTCTTCAAAAAGACTTGCCTAGGTCGTGGTATTTTGTGGAAGAGCCACACTCACAGGGTCAAAGAGATGCATGTGGCTCTAGAGCACTTACCATCTATGATACAATAAAATGTGAAAAATCCTCACTCCCACTGTCCTTCCCAAAGGTAGCGACTGGCAGTAATTTGGTATCTATTATTTGGTATCTATTGTCACATGAACGGTTGTTTGGTTTTCTAGGGAAACTAACTTGTGTGATTTGCATTTTAAAAAATAATATATTGTGGTGATCATCCCTATCAAGACAATAGTCAACCCATTCTTTTTACCTTTTCTGTATATTATATCATATCAGTATCCTCTAATTTAATCATGCCTCTGATTAAACATCAAATACTTTTTTTCCATATTGATAACAATGCTATAATAAACACTCTTGTACAAAAATCTTTGTGGCCAATTGCTAGTATTTTGTAAGTATATTCCTAGAAATGAAATTGATATGTCAAAGGATGTGGACATTTTAAATTTTGATAAAAAATACCAGTGTTTTCCAAAATTCTTTAATTTACAGTCTCTCTTAATTCTATTTTTAAAAAGATTTGTGCCAATCTAATAGAGATGAGCATCTGTTCATTTTTTCCCCCAATAAGGGTATATTGTTTGGGCCATTTACTTCTCTTTGTTCAATGTTACTAACTCTTTATATTTTCTGGATATATTTCTAAATTTTAGCTGTTTCTTATTTTTCTTTATGGTAATTGTTCTGGTAATCACCATATGTTATTTGCTGTATAACAACCCCAAACTTAGTGATATAAAACAACCAATCTTTTTCTTTTATGGTCACAGATTTTATGTGTCAGGGATTCAGAAAGGTCACAGTAGTTTTTTCTCAGCTAGAAATACTTGAAAACTGTATTACTCACTTACTCACACGATGCTGACTGCCAGTTGGGACCTCATTGGGGCTGTCATCAAGAACTCCTTCATGAGCCTTCCTATATGTGTGCCTGTATTCCGAGAGAGGGTCCAAGAGAACCAAGCTGAGCCTCCATCACCTCCCATGACCTCTGTTCTCAGAAACCACAACCTGCTATAGTCACAAGCCAGCCCAGTTTCTGTGAAAGAGGATGGAGACTCCACATCTTGAGAAGAGTGTCAAAGCCAAATTTCACAAGAAAAGCCTGTTGCAAAGGAGATATTGTTGAGGACACCTATGGTAAATAAAATTTGTCATAACCATTATGTTTTATGGAAGAATTCAGTGACCTTGAACTGAGACTTCTGG